TGATACTGGAGGAAGCAAGGAAAGTATACATGTTGCACAAAGCACTCCATGGCCTCAAATAGGCACCTAGAGCATGAAACAAGAAGATCGGCTCATACTAAGTCAATCTATGATTTGTCAAATACATGTCTGAGTATGGTGTCTAATGTACAGGTCATGGCACAAGATATAACCATCATATGCTTATATATCGATGACTTTTTGGTAACTGGAAATAACATGGAGAACTTGTTGATGTTCAAGGAGACGATGATGAGGGAATCTGAAATGTAGAATATGGAAAACTTGTTGTATTTCTTAGACATGGAATTTCAAATTACCAAGCAAGGTATAGTGATGCATCAAAGGAAGTAGGTTAAACTGGAGAAGCATGGAGAGGAGTACAAAGTCGATGTAACTTTGTTCAAGCAAATTGTAGGATCTTTAAGATATGTGTGCAATAGCAGACCTGATATAGGTTTCTCATTCAGATTGATGAGAAGATACATGAGTGAACCAAGGGTGTCACATATGAAAGATGCAAGAATAATCATGAGAGGATCTATAAACTTTGGAATTTTGTTTCCATGAGATTTTGAAAGAAAAAAAGCTACGATTACTTGTTATTCAGATGTTAATTGGTGTGGAGATAAGGAAGATCGAAGAAGCATAACTAGTTACTTCTTTCAAGTATTTGGTGATCAATCTCATGGTACTTGAGAAAGCAACATGTGGTGGCATTATCATCATGTGAGGCTGAATATATAGTAGGATCCTATGTTGTATGTCAAGCAATTTAGATCAGATTTGTGCTGGAAGAGATGAAGGTCAAAGTGAAGAAACCTCTAGTATTGCAGATCGATAACAAGTCAGCCATAAATCTTGCAAAGAATCCAGTTCTGCATGGGAGGAGTAAGCACATCGAACTAGATTTCATTTCTTAAGGGAAATGGTAAATCAAGGTGAACTTGAAGTGAGGCATTGCTCAAGTGAAGCATAGTTGTCCGATATTTTCACCAAAGGATTGAAGATCGACAGATTCCTAACTTTGAAAAAGAAATTAGGAATAGTTCAGATTGATTATATAGCTAATGCTTAGTAACTTGGATTATAAGAAATTGTGTTGAGAGTATAACTCAAGTTGTGTAACTCAAACTCAAGCCTAAGTTAGTTAGTTACTTGGTTATCAAATTAATCTTTTATATATATATATATATATATATATATATATATATATATATATATATATATATATATATATATATATATATATATATATATATATATATATAAATTCAGTTTGATATAACAATAATAATAATAATAATAATAATACAACAATTTTTATTCTTCATTTTCTCATTCCTTCTCCCACTCAACGTACATCAAGCATTAACACTAACCAGCACAATCCAATTCATAAATTTGTAGTTTTATCCAAACCGACCAATAATGTTGTACTTGTAGGTGGTAATTGTACCTCAGACAAACTAGTATATCTGATATGGTTAAGATTCTGGTTTTGACCAAATTCAACTCATTTACACCCTTATATTTTATGATCTACATACTTTTTACTATACTATTAAAAAAAGTTGTAACATACATAACTTTTAAACTTAATACTTTTCAATTGTTTTTTTAGTCTTTAAAAAATCATAAAAGTAATTATACAAAAATTTTGGCTTAAATATATTTTACATTCTCCTAAATATATCAACTTTCGTTTTTAATCTTCAAAATTATGTATTTTTTTTAACATTAGTTACTCTAAAATTTTCGATAAAATGATTTTTTTCACCAACAAAAGTTTTCATGAAGGGTCACTTGTTTGTATTATGCACGATTAGAAGATGATTGGATTGCCACGTGAAAATATTGCATAACTTTTTATTTAAAAGTTAAGCTGTATTTACACAAGGCAGCTCAGACATTGTTCAATTGTATGCAGAAACAGACAATTGACCCTTTATGTCGTGAAAGTTAATTGAAAGAATCAAAAGTATGGATAGTAAATTTAGGAAGATTGTGTTAGAAAAAAACATGGAGAAACAAAAACTATGGGTTTTGATACAACTATAGGGGGAATTGATCAAGTTGAAGAGATAAAATAGGAAGTGAGTAGATTTAATGAAAGTAATTATAGAAGACTAAAGCTTGAAGATGTGGATTTCAACTAGCTTAATTTTTTCGATGTGCCGAAATTCAGATCACTCTGTCAGCCACATGGGCTCCCAAGAAGATGTTACTTGGGTTTGGAAGGTAGTGGATGATAAAGAAAATCTCTCGGACACAGCATCAGTTCAATAGATGGAGTTGTTAAACATATTAACTCATGTACGCCCTACAACTGGTATGAAGGACATGTTTATTTGGTTTGCAAATGCGGAAGGTTCTTATACGGTGAAAGAATGTTATGAGATTGTCTCCAAGATTGAAACTTCAAACATGTCAGCCTTCAATTCATAGTTTTCTATGGACTATATTTGGGAAACGAAGGCTCCTTCAAAAGTACAGGTCTTTGGTTGGAGATGTGTGAGAGATAGACTAACATAGAAAGAGCAGTTGGTTAAAAGAGGTGTGATACCCAATGGTGATGCATCAATGTGTGTTTTATGTTCGGTGGCACTAGAAACTTTGGACCACTTCCTATTGTCTTGTCCCTTCGCGACCTCGGTTTGGGATAGTGTGACGGCTTGGATCGACATATCTCAGATTCAGGAAGCAACGGTGGTGGAACATTTGTCGCAGTTCGGAGAAGCATTAAGAAGGAAAACTCGGGCTATTAAACGTTTGGTTATTTGGTTGGTAACATGTTAGGCATTGTGGTGCAAACGTAATGCGGTAATCTTTAAAAACGAGTTGGCAAACATAGGTGATGTTGTTGATTTTTATGGCACATTATTGGATTGAAATCAAAAGTTTGTAAGAACTTGTACTTATGGTGTATTAACCCGTTAAGTATAGTCGGGGCATCTCAATTTTGTACTTGGGCGAGTACCCCTTGTACTCTTATATTGTTAAATCAATTCCATTGCCTATAAAAAAAATTAGCTTACTGAGGAAGAGAGCAGCCTACTTGAAGCTCCTTTCTCTCATGAAGAATTTAAAGATATGGTGTGACTCGGTGATTAGGGGTGAAATAGATTAGGCCGAGTTAGATTTTGTCAAGCCTGAGTCTGACCTGTTAAAAATTTCAAAGCCTAAGTCTGACTTGTGACCTATTAAAGGTTTGTTTTTAGGCCCGAGTATGGCCTTTTAGAAAACCTGATTGATCTATTAACCTACATAAAAGCCTATTTTATTTGAATATTCTCAAATAAGCAATTCAACTAATGTTAAAATAGACTAACAAATTAAAAGATTAATTAGACTAGATGCTTATTTGCATTGGTTTATTCAAGCTTACCTATTAACATATATTTTGTGATATTATTTGCTTGAGAGAACTTATGAAAATAAGATATTGTTCATAAGATTTTTTCAGCGTATTTTCATAAGTCCTTCCAGACATCTAAACATTATTTTTATATTTTAATTTAAAATACAAACAACATATAATAATAAAATTATTCATATTTATTTAAATAGGTCAGCATAATAGGCTTAAAAGGCTTTTTTTGCGGCTTGTGGCATAATTTTTTTAACTAAATAGGCTTATAAAAAAACACGAGTCTTTTCCATTTAAAAAAAAAATCTAGCCTGACCTTATATAGACTAACCTGTAGGCCTCTGTTATTGGTCTGGCCTATTTCCACCCCTATCAGTGATGGAGAGAAAAGCCTTAGTCCTAATGGGTATAACTTATAAGTTTTTTTAAGAACTGTTGAAACTTTATAGGTAAGGATGTTATTAGATATGTTAATGAGTTTTACTGGAATTAGGGATGGAAATAGGTCAGACCGATAACAGGAGCATACAGCATAGCATACATAGGCTCAGACTACGACCTAGTCTACATAGGCTCAGGCTAGGCCTAGGCGTTTTATAAGCCTATTTAGTTAAAAAGGTTAGGCCTCATACCATGAAAAAAAGCCTTTTAGGCCTAACAGATTGGCCTATATATATAATTTTTTTATTATCAATATGTTATGTTTTGTAATTTGAATCAAAATACATAAATAAAACTTAGTTATCTTGGAGAACTTATGAAAATAAGATGAAAACACCTTATAAACAATATTATAAGTTGTTTTCACAAGTCCTCTTAAACAAATAGTCTCACAAAACTTATACTAATTGGTAAGTTAAAATAAATCAATGCAAACAAACTTTTAGTCTCATTGATTTTTTAATTTGTTAGTCTATTTAAATATTATTTAAATTGTTTATTTACATATGTCTAAAATAATAGTTTTTTTTATATAGACTAACAAGCTAATCAGGCCTTAGAAAAATATCAGGCTCAAACCTAAAAATAAACCTATGACAGACTACAGGTCAGACTTAGGCTTCAGATTTTTTGACAGACTAAACTTAGGCTTAACAAAACTTAACTCGGTTCAACCTATTTCCACTCCTAACTGGAATACCAAGCCCTCTAAGGCAGTTACAACTTCTTTCCTTACTTTAATTCCAAAGATAAACAATCCCCAATGTATCGATGAATTCAAGTCTATATGCTTGGTGGAAAATTTGTATAGAATAATCTCCAAAAATGTTGGCTTCTAGATTGAAGAAGGTTATAGAGCAGTTGATATCTCAATCCCAATCAATTTTACTTAAGATATGAAAGAAGATGATGCATTGCTGAAAATTCTGGACACTCTTTGGAAGACCAAAGATCCTAAAAAGTTTGTGTTCGCGTGGAGGACCTTCTTAATCAGAAATTCAGAGAGGAAGAAAAATTTGACCACACTTGATTTAACTAGAATTCAAATTCACTACAACTATGTAATGTACAAATTATAAATTAAAACAGAGGCAGTTGGCCCCAAAATTTCAAAGAAAAATGAATTATATACATACAATATTTACAATTATATGTACAAAAACCATTGATAGAGAGATGCATTGACATTTTAGCTGCTGATGTCAAAGTATTTTGGATTAGATGGAAAATGATATTCCACATGCAACTGCAACATGAAATGATCATTAGGTAACATAAAAAATAAAATAAAAAAGAGGCACAAGAAGTACAAAACTTAACTAATCTATACATGAATTAAAACCACTTTCATCATATATGCATGCATTTACATACCTTGCCCTCATCAGAATCTGAGTGACGCTGAGGAAACACTACTCTCATATCATCGTACAAGTAGAAACTTCTTTCTTCTTCGTTGTCTATAAGTTTTCTTGCTTCAGAAGAAACAGGGTCGGATTTGTGTGTAGGAACAGATCTTGAACGTTTCTTAGGAAAAGTACACATAAAGCGAAGATGAAGAGCATAAAGAAGGACGCAGTTGTTAATAGAATTGTCGTTGATCTTTGTAGAACCATTTAGAAATGTTTCTTCATCAACAAGGCATCTGCTTGAGGACTTAGCATCAGTATCAGAACCGTTTAGAACCATTTTTCCAGTTGTAGATGTTGATCTAGACGAAGTTAAAGTGATCTTTTGCCGCACGAATGTCTACTTAGATATATACAAGCAATGCACATTAAACACAAGCTTTAGTTTATACGCATACACGCGAATTACTTAATTATATCTCTAACATGCTCCCTACACAAGAGCTACTTGAGCTCGAAAACATACCTTGTGCAGAAACTTAGCTTCTTTATTAAGCGATTGAGGATAGAAATAATCAAACGTGACAAAATATCGAATGTGATTATATTCATTCAATCCTACCTTTGTATCGGCTGGCATGTCACTTAAATCATAATTGCAGAAGAAGGTGTGAATCGGTGTTCTCTCTGGATTGCTGAGAACCTGCAGTTGAATACGCCCTTTTATAGACAGAAGGGGAAAAAGATATTCTCAACTCAACAATTTTAGGGGTTTTCTAGTATATAGTACCAGTTGAATACGCCCTTTTATAGGTATTCGTATGCGTCTCTTTTCATATCGCGATTCATCCATTCTAAAGGTTCTCTGACATTTAGTTACTCTAGCCTTGCTTGATAATGAATTTCCCGAGAGATTAATTGAAGAATAATAAAGTAGGTATTTGTCTCCATCTACACTCGTTACTGCAAATGGAATTTTTCGTGATTGAGGTGAGAAATTTCCTCCGGTTACATTCAGCATAGCAAGAAAGCCTTCAATTTTCTGCAATATTGTAGGTAGTATAAATAACAAGAGTAAAATAACATTAACATCACTCCGATTTCATATAAGACCAACCTGACTAACTTTCTCAGAAAGTAAACGACCAGATAATAGCGACTCCTCGAACGAACCGACTAGAGACCTTCTAGTTGGCAGCCTACTCTCAGATTGACATAACCTAGCATGCCAAGGAGGAAAGCTAGCAGGATAAGTCCAATACTCCTTCATATCAACGATATCATCAGGAGTAAACAGTTTGACATCACTCAAGTCGGTACCAAAATCTCTACATTCTCCCAACTTTTTATCTGGACAAGTTTTTTTACCCAAAGGAGATAAAGGGATGCGGGGCAATGACGCATTTTTTTGATAAATCTCACCTCCAATGTCCATGCAATGATCGCCCTTACACTGATCTGCAAGCAACGTCGCATTCAAAGGTGACCATAATCGCTTTTTTACATTAGACTTGGAAGATTCACTTGGCGAAAATCCATTTGCACCAAAACCATTAACGCGAGAAGCTAATGATCGTAGAGTCGTAGAAGTAGGTGTCTGCTGCAAACTTTGTTCAGCATTGGCAGATAACCTACCAATTTGCTCCATGGAGTTAATCTTGAATTGACCATCTTTATTACTCACATTTGAAATAGATGATTCTTTTGAAACCTCAAAAACATTTGTTTTTTCAGAGTTAGGCATATGAATGTTCATACATTTGCCGAGTTCTTCTCCTCCAGCGAACAAATTCATGTCATAGTTGCTTACGCCAGCAATCTTCGGTGCAGTTTGCACAAATGTGCCTAATGAAGTTGCCACCTCCTCAGCAATGTAGGCTGAGGATACATGTGGCAACCCCATATCAACTTCAGGTGTAGATTTCTTCCAAAATTTCAAAAACGAATCGCTACTAAGGATTGAACCTGGACCAACAGCTCGCACCCGTTTAACTCAAATAACATATCCCATTCACGCAGCATAAGGAATAATAAGTCAAAACACACACCCTTGAAAAAAAAAACCAATAATTAAACTCCTATAAACCCATATAAGTTCTAAACATGACAATCATTGAGTATATATGATGAAAAAAGACGCACCAGAGGTGTTATTTCAAACGCCAATCCATAAGAATGCTCCAAATTTCAATCCTGTTTCTAGACCTCACAAATAAAAGGAACAAACTTTGTAAAACCCACATCAAAGTTTATCATGATTGAGGGATTTTCATGATTTATATTCTCTATGGAAAGTGCTGCCATATCTTGGTTTCAAAGGGTGTTGGATTGAATGGATGATGATAATGATTGGTAGGAATAAGGTGCTAAAAGAAAAGAATTTTTGTGGGACAAGGTTTAGCCAGAATTTATTTGGTTGTTTGTCTCTATTTTTCGTTTGAATTGAAAACCACAGGTTCTGTTGTGTTGTGTGTTTGTTTTGAGTCCAAGTTGCGGTTCTATTTTTCTTTCTTTTCATGACATGTGCCAAACCATGTTGACATCTTAGGACATTTCTATATTTTTAGGATCATTTATGTGCGACAACTATACCCATCTGCTTTGAGAAATTTGATACACAGCACTGTTTCTCATTATCAGCCATTAAGTGTGGTTTGCATTACATCCACTTTTTAAAATATCCTATCCTTTTTATTCTACTTTACTTTATATCACTAATCTTATAACAATATGAATTTGTTAACTCAAAAATGATTTAGCATTTGTTTGATTATATGGTGAGGATATTAATTTGGAGTGAATTTATTTAGTAAAATTGATTTAGTAAAATTGATTTAGTAAAATTTATAGTGGGATTTGTATTGGATAAAAATACAATGAACGTAACAATTCCAATGTATATGGGTTGTCAAAGGTTTTAAGATTCGTTGAGGATTAGAGTTAATCTATAAGATAAAGTGAGAAGTTATGTATGAGTGGTTTCTATATGTGTTAGAGATTGGATCTCCCTCAGTATTAAGGTACAAATGTATTTATAGCTTTTCAGGGGCCTTAGATCGAACGAACTAAGTCTCCTTATAATATAGCGACTCTAGTGGAAGTGGGTGGTTAATACCCTGAAATTCATGAGAGATGGTTATACCCTATGACTTCCTAGGTACTGACTATTGGCCTAATACACACTCCACACACTAACGGAGGAATGAGAAGTTGGGCGACTGATCCTGGCAAGGGGCAATCGAACCAGATGAAGGTCGCTCGAACTAATATAGGAGTGACTCAGGAAGGACAGCGCATACAACTCTCACCCTCGTCCCAAGGTCTTCCTCAATTAATCTACTATATAGTCCCTCAAGCATGAATACTCACAAAGGCTGAAGTGTTTTAACCATTCACCTTCAAACCTTTTGAGGAGCCCGATCGAGGTGACAACCCCTACCCTTAAGTGAGGAGTGGTCGCAACTCTCCTAACAAGGTCTTGTCGAGTCTTTGATTGAGACTTGTTGAGTCCCTCTGACAATATTTTGTTAAATCCCTTAGGTGAGAGTATGTTGAGTCCCTCTGACGAGACTTTGTTGATTCCCTCAAGCAAGACTATGTTGAGTCCCTCATGTGAGACTTTGTTGAGTCCCTATGACAAGACAATGTTGAGTCTCTCTAGCAAGACTTTGTTGAGTCTAAGTGAATAGAATTGGTTGAGTCCCTCAAGCGAGACTATGTTGAGTCCCTTTGACAAGACTTTGTTGAGTCCCTCTGACGAGACTTTATGGAGTCCCTCAAGAGAGAATATGTTGAGTCCCTCATACGAAAATATATTGAGCCCCTCTGACGAGAATTTGTTGAGTTCCTCATGCGAGACTATGTTGAATTCCTCATGCGAGACTATGTTGATTCCCTCTGTCGAGACATTGTTGAGTCCCTCGGACAAAACTATGTTAAGTCCATATGAAGAGACTATGTTGAGTCCCTCTAACGAGACTTTATTGAGTCCTTCTGACAAAACTTTATTGAGTCACTCAAGTGAGACTGTGTTGAGTCCCTATGACGAGACTTTGTTATGTTCCTCAAGCAAAACTATGTTGATTCCCTCATGTGAGAGTATGTTTAATCTCTCAGGGACGATTCCCTTAAGCATTTCTTGAAGCGAGTTCAGTCCTTTGTATTTAGTACGTCCTTCGTACCCCCCCCCCCCCCCCCCTCTGTAGGACATTTTGTAACCCCACCTTTGAGGGGCTTTTCTTTAATGACCGTGTTTTGGAAGTTCATTTATGAAATTATTAATGTGGTTTCCTTTATATTATTCACAACATCATCAATGAATGCACAACATATTAAGGCATCAAGGATTCTTCTATAATGGTCTTCCGATGTATTTTCCTCGTAGCGCGCAAGGATCCTTCAGCAATGGTCCATCATATTTAATCATCTTGTTGGATGGAAAGGATCTTCGTTCGGAAATCCAACAATATGATTACTTTGTAGGTGGCAAGGATCTTCCTGTGAAAGTCCAGCAATATGATTACCTCATAGGGCAACAAAGATCTCCCTGTAGAAGTCCATCAAACAAGGATATGCCTCTAGAAGTCCAACAATATGATTAACATGTCGGGCGTTAATGATCTTTTTATGGAAGTCCGGCAATATGATTACCGTGTAGGACGACAAGGATATCCCCGTGGAAGTCCAACAATATGATTATCCAATAGTACAACAAGGATCTCCCTGTGGAAGTCCAGTAATATGATTACCCCGTAGGGAATCAAAGATCTTCTTGTGGAAGTTCTATAATATGATTTAGTAGCGGAAACATAATAACTTGTTACAAATACCATAATCCATTACAAGAACTTTTGTACATGGGTAATTCTCCTACTACCACTTAACTATAATAATATCTTAGGTTGGATGAATTCCATTTTATGGGAATGAGTCGTCCATCCAACTCATTGAGCTCATAATCCCCATTAGGAAGTTTCTTACATACACGATATGGCCTCTCCTAGTTTGCTTGTATTTGTCTCTATTAGACAGACACCACGACTTGACGTAGTACTAAATTGCCTTCTTGCATCTCTCTTGGAATTGCATATTTTGGTTGTTATTTATTTAGCGGTGAATTCTCAAATGTGGGCGACAACCTTAGTTTCATCCACTAGGTTTGCGTTACATTTAAGCCCCTATTTGTTTTCCTATTTATTTAAATGGGAGTGTCGCTACGTTGGCGTGTCAATTTCAAATGGTAGAATGGTGTACGCCTCATATCCTAATAAGAAAGGAGTTTCTCTAATGGTGGAATGAAGGGTTGTGTGGTATAACCATGGAACTTCGTGATATTTCTCGGCCCACAAACCTTTGACCTAATCCAGTTTCTTCTTGATCCCTTTTAATATTATCTTGTTGGCTGATGCTGCTTATTTGTTCTCTTATGGATGAACGGTGGATACAAATTTAGTTTGTACCCCTATCTTTTTATAGAAATTGATCGCAGTGGCACTAGAAACTTGCGCTCTGTTGTTTATGACAATGACTCTCGGTAGACCAAACCTGCACATGATCTTCTGCTAATAAAAACAACAGACTATTTATGTTGTTATCAGACACAATCTCTTTTTATATCCATTTATGAAGTTGTCAACTCTGAAAATCAAGAATTCAAGTTGGTCATGACAAGAGGAAAACACTACTACAAATAATATATTTCATAACGAAACTTTTGCCTCAGCCAAAACAAAACTGAGGTGTAATGCCAAGGTGCGCCATATTTTATTGTTATAAAAATAAAAACAACATATTCCCTTGGTTTTTAATATAGCTGAGGGAAAAACAACTCAGGACACACTTTGAATCCTAGCTATTGTAGTTTATGTTTTTATTTGTTTATAAGTGTAAACTAAATGATCTATCCCTTCAGTTTCCTTATTAACTAAAGGATAAAATAATCAGATTTTACTATATCGTGAAACACAATACCTTTGAAACAACGTATAACATGGTTCTTTAAGGCAAGAAACCTACAAGGATAGAAAAGAATGAAAAACACAAAGAACAACAAGGATTGGTTATTAACTGATATTATTTACTTTCTCTTCAAACAAGATTACAAGTACACAAGAATAGCAAATAACCCTATCATCCTAAATTAAGATTTGATGCAATGATGAGAGACTAGTATGTTATTTATAATAAACCTAACATACTAAACTAATGGGCTTTTTCACAAATACCCATTACAAGATAACTTAGGGTACAAGCTAACTTAAAAAATTGGACATAACAAATAGGCCCAATTAGATGCTAACAATCCTAGCATTCTTTAACATCTACACACTAGAACACATTTCGACTATAACATGTAATTCTTCGATACTAGCATATGAGCAACCTTTTACTGCATGCTACAACTTTGTCGAACTGTCAAAACCAAGAAGATATTCTTCGACCCAATAGAGTTTGATCCAATATCTCACAAATATACACCTTGGAACAAACTCTAACATCAAAGGAACAAACTATCTTACTTCATGCAGCTTTACCAACTGCATACAGTGGAAAAACTTGCAACTTGTCAATGTCTTGGTGATCATATCAACAACATTATAATTTGTCAAAACCTCCCGCACTTGGACTTCTCCATGCTCGATTACCCCTCTGATTAAATGCAATGTCACATCAATGTGCTTGGTTCTCTCATGATAGGTTGAATTCTTTAACAGGTGTATTGCACTTTGACTATCACATTTAACAGTGATAACTTGACCTTGAAGTTTCAGCTTCTTAGCAAAACCTTCAAGTCACAATGCTTCTTTCACAGCTTCACTGAGGGCAATATATTCTGCTTTAGTGGTTGATAAGGCAACGACCTTCTGAAGTGTCACTTTCCAACTGATTGTTGTTCCAAATATA